TTGCTAAAAAGATGGGGAAATTAATTCAAGAATCAGCTTCTTAGAAGAAAGCATTGGGGCCGCACCTTTCTCCTAAAAAGGTGGCACATGGGCCCTATCCTTGTTCCAGAAGAAATCTGCCAAACAAACCCTAATTTCTAGGGTCTCTGCTGGGCCCTTTTTACCCTAGATCTACCACATATATAAAGGAGGGGTTGCCGCAGGAAAGAGTTTTTTTTTTAGGGGCTGTAGCAAGAGAGGAAAAAGAGAGAAGAACTTGGAGACGCAACCTGCTGCATCCATTGGGGTTTTCAGAGTTCTTCTTCCCTATTTTAGTTAAATGTTTATTCTAGATTGCTTTTCAGTTATTATGAACATGTGTAACTAAATTTCTTCTTAGTTAGGGGTGAATTCGAAGCCATGGACATATGTTTAATATGAATTGATTACTTCCAGTTATGGTTTTATAAAGTATGAATGTGATTTACTTTTCTGTTTTATTGAGAACTTATTCTTGTATGCAGGGAATTGATGCTAGAATATAAGGGAATTTCACCTAATCGTTATGAACTTATATTCACAAGTGGTAAAAGTCACTAGTCATGATTGAGTTAAGTAAGTTCTTGGCAGGAGTATCATGCTTTTCATAGTTACGAATGCTTTGTCAATGCTTATGATTTTCACAGAATTTAATGATCTTTGATACGTATCTTTATCATGCTGTTCATATAGGGAACTTGATGAGAATAATTTGATTGTGTCGTTGAGTCCAATTCAATGAACTTAGGAAAATTTGAGAGTTAATTAGTGCATTCACAATTAATTTGGGGCATTGTCATTCATACTTTATAGGAAGAGTAACTGGAGATCGATTTGTATGCATATGTTCCATGTGTGGAGAAGGATCCTCTAGCTATCCCTTCATCCATACTTCATTCACAACTTAGTTGTTTGCTGCTGTCATTATTACTTTAGTCTAAATCGTCCAAATTTCCCCCAATCATTGTTTTCCTTAACTTAGTTTTCAGTTTAATAAGTTTAATTTGTGTTGATTAGCATCCCTCCTAATCCCCGGAATAGAACAATCCCTACTTACTCGTACTACGATTGCATAATTCATAGGGTTTAATTTGTGTGTTAGTTATTTCTCACGCCAAATTTTGGCGCCGTTGCCGGGGATTAGCAAAATTGCTAATCTTCCCTTTGTTTTCGTTTTTATTGTGTTTCTGATTTTGTTTTGTTTTGTTTTCTTTGTTTTAGGTACTAGTTTATGACTCGAAGTTCACACCCTGTTCATGCGCACATATTGGACTTTGACGACGATTTCGAACGAGCTTTGAGAAGGAAGAGGAAGCAGCCAGAACTCAATTCCTCTAGTTCTAGTTCTGAACTTGAATCTGAAGCTGAAACGGACTTGGAAGAGGAAAAATACATGGCTGTAGACAATCGAGCAATCAAGGAACTTTCAGCCTCTGGATTGGACAATGCAGTCCCTCTTTGCATTCAATACCCTAGGGCAGCTGCAGGCAAGACCGATGAGTTTGAATTGAAGTCGAGTTTGCTACATCACATTCCCAAATACCATGGGCTGTCCATGGAAGATCC